CGTGGCGTGCATGAAAGAATGCCCAACAAAACACACTGCTGCTGCAGTTGCAAAGGTTCAGCAGTTTTATCTCAGCCTATTCATAACTGAAATGAAATCACGAATGACTCAAAATATTTAATCATAATTAAAGTAACAGTTTTTTACTTATCATTTGAAAGTGCCACAAATTCTGCGTAAACAACATAAGTTTGTTTTATTTCAGCAATTTTATTTTGTAAAAGTATTTGAGCAAGTATGTCACTGGTTTAATGGGAACAATTGTCCATGCCTGAATCGCCAATAAGGCTTTTAATATCACAGTAATTATATTGCCTCAAGTTAAGCTTGTTATGTTCGCATTTTGTTGCCACACTGTACTTCTTTCTCATTAGGACACAGTCGTAGTTAAGCCCGTGTATCCGCTTTTCAACCATGGCCCTAAGCACTGTATATGTTGGAAGTTTGATTTGACTGCAAAGTAAACTTGATCACCTCCAAGCTTTTTCTGTAATGTAGCTTAACCTCTGCAAAAGCTGATCATGCCTGCCAAAGTGAAGCATTCAAGCTTCGAACACAGTGTGTGCCCTTCTCCTGCTCCCATTGTTTTGGCACATGCGAGTGGACAATCTTTGCATCCCTCCTTGCACCAACTGTGGAAACCTGCCTGCCTCACAAGTGTACAATGAGTGCCAGAAAGTGGTGTGAAAATAATCTTGTGACAGAAGGAAGAAGAAGAAGAAAAAGGGGCCCTCCGAAAGGCTGATATTTTTCATGGGGCGGGCCTTGGCATTCCAGCATGATCTGCTGTGCAGGAATACAGCATGTAGTAGTAGTACTCACAAATTTCTCAGCAACCATCAGTTCGTCGTACGATCCTAGCATAACACTGCGCATCTGAAAGCCACGTTCAGAGGATTATCACACCTGACTGAAAGCAAAGCAGCTCCATCGTGTCCGAGATGCCACCAACAGTCAAAACCCAGTTTTTTAAAATGGCTATACAGACACTACAAGTTCCAACAAAATCGTAAATGCTGCGACATTTTTTTTTCCGAAAGAATGTCCCAAGCGGGCATAATTCTCACTTACGAACCCCTCCCCTTTTTTTTTTCAAATGCAATACAAATCTATAAATAAGAACTTGTAAAGGAAGCCTCCTGGAGCCCTATGATCAGTGTTAAAGGCCAACTCCAGCGATTTTTCGAGGTCAATGATTCTCGATGAAATTTACTGGGTACATTAATTCGCACGTTCGCACCATTCATGCTAAATTATATGCTTGAGAGTTTCACATTCTTTTCAAATGAATTTTATAAATTGTCTCCAAATGCTCACCTCACTTGGCTGAATTATTGGCAAGATTGTGTGTGTGACGTTGAATTTCACAAAGCAACGGAAGTGACTGAATCGAGGTTCCACTGCAGCATCAGCTTGTCTGCTAAGGATCGTGTGTGTCGGGCCGGCGCTTCCTTGGTTGAGTATGCGATTTCCTTTGCTGTGTGGGTTGGCATGTGATGGGTGGCAAGTGGTATTGTGTGGAGTGTGGGCCGCATGTTATTCACCGTATATTCACCATAATAGCCACTAAACACTCGCAGCTAATGAACACACTCCGTCTCGATAGTAGAGTGTTCTATCTAACACTGCTGGCTCACCACAAGTAGGGTACGGCAATATTGTGCCTGCTTAAGAGTGCATATTTATGAACTTTAATGCACTGAAAAATTTTCCGTAGCGAATACCGGGTCCACTGTGACCACGTCTATCTGTATACGGTAAGTTGCGCATCGTGGATGATCTACGTACTTGGCTGATAACCGATCATATCATTGTCGTAAAGCATTTCATAAAATTATGTCCTCTTTCCATGATAATATTAAAATGCCTTAGTCTGGTGACAAAATTCTGCGCGTAACCGTTCTAGCCAATCACCACAGCCACAAATGCCAGACAGCCTGGACAAGTAGTGCCATCTGGCGGTGTTATCCGCAACCAGGCAAGCAAATACGAAAATCTGTTCTGTTTCATCAAAACGCAACGGTTATGCTTGTTGATCTCCAGATGCATTTGAATTGTAGCTCTTATTGTTTGACATTGTCTGACCAAGGAGCTTGTGCACGAGCAGTCACAAATATGGTGGGGCAAAGAAGAAGAAGAACACCTTAATTGATATGCACATATGTTAAAGGTTCAAATGGGCGGATCCCCAAATACAGGGCCTCACTGGCTTCTGCAGCTCGCCGGGCCTGGTCGAGGGTTGCCATGTGGCATCCCAGATGATGGTCGGAGAGTCGCACCTCCCACGACCAATTTGCGAGTGAGCCTCCCACTAGTGGCGAGGCGGCGTCTGGTGGACACTCCTGACTTGTGCATGTGATGTGTTGAAGTGTTGTGTGTCTTCACACTAAGGGCATTTGTTTTCGTGTCTGTCGGCATACATCTTGTGTAGTCTTTAAAAGTTAGAGAATGTGTTGGTCTGCAGTCATCACCAGCCCCTCGCATGGCCCCTATTGAGCTTGCCGTGGGTCAAAGCATTGGTTCGTCGTCCGTACCTTTCGAATTTTAAAATTTCGCGTGGTGTGCCAAATGTAAGGGCTTTCTTTGGGGGAGAGTGCTCCGAGGCTCCGCCTGCCATGTTTCGAGCCAGGCGATCCACTCATTCATTGCCATCCATCCCAGGATGCCTATGATGCTGACCGGCAAAACTCCCCACAGGTGTAGGCGACATGCGTCCTGCGAGTCTGTGAGTATATATGCCAATAGTTCATTCACTTCAGCAGCTTGTAGGGCCAGGGCAATAGCCACGGCTTCGACCGTTGCAATGGATGAGGTGCGTAAGGATGCAGCTGCGACCACGCATTCCCTATTGGTCACCACTGCCGCAAAAGTGGAGCTAGGTGTTTTCGTGAGCGGGTATTGACTTGCATACGCGAAATATGTGTCTGGGTAGTCCTGCTTCCTTAGCAAAGTTGTCGCCTTGCTCGTCTTTGTCTTGCAAGGTATTTAGAGTGCATGTTGCAGGGATTGGCATCTACATGTAGTCCCATTCACAGTGCATTAAGTAGAAGTTCAGTCTCATCGCCACAAAACAGTTAAGACGCTTTCACTGAGCTATGATCGTGGCTGCGGCGAATTTTTCATAGGTGCTGTGCATTCCTAGCTCGAGTAGGTGTTTCGTGCTGGTGCTTTCCGGCACGGAGAGAGAGAGAGAAAGAACATTTATTTACGCATCCGGCGTGCGGGAAGTCACCGGCCACGCAGGGCGCGGGTATTCCCTATCTGAAGACTATGGCTAATAGAGTCCTATAGTCCCAGGGCCTAGATCTTGAGGACGTTGTGCTCCGGCTAGGCATTGGATGCTCCTGCTCCTCCGCTCCCATTGTCACCTACTCGAGCTAGGCGATGTGAGCTATCAGCTGAGTGTCTGCTCTTCGCCGCTTTTGCAGTATTTGTACTCTGCACTGGCGAAACTGGCATGCCTTGCAGCATTTCCGGTTCTTTCAAAGTAGCATGCCATATGTAGGCAGTGCATTCAGTTGGGTTTCGGTTTTAGTATTGAGCTTTTTTGCTTATTAAAAATTGTTTGCCAATTTGCTGAGCATTTCAGCTATCGGGCATGTGACAAGAGTGTCTCACGAACATAAAAGCATCTTTACCCCGACATGGTGAAAAAAAATAGCCGGAGTTGGCCTTTAAGTAGCAAATGCATGTGTATCAGAGCCATCCAATAAGTTAGAAAGATTGTTATTTGAAGTATTGACACCTAGAACGGTATCCAGTTTGTACTGTATTTTCCGACGTATGTCGTGTTTCTTTTTTTCCAAAATTTTCCCTGGTGAGTCTTATACAACTGTGGGACTTATGCATCACATCTCCTTTATTGCTTTCACGAGTGTAAGAAATTTGGTGCAGTAACATTTTAATAGAAATAATATTACATTTTAACACCGGGACAGATGTCGAGTACAGGCAGCACAGCTATGGTATCGCAGCGGCGTCGGTGTGGCAAGATTTGACCTATATGTAGCCTACATGATGGACAAGCAGACGTACCACTATGTCTTTTTAAGATACCGTTAAACCTGTAATATCGACGCAGATAATAAGAAAAAGGCACATCTGCTTGTCTTTTATTCCTACAAAGTGACACTACGTCTAACTCTGAAATAAAAGTAAAAGCTGTGGCGAAACGACGAGTGTGACAAACTGATGCTGCCGACTGAAGTGGCTCAACCTTCCGATGGTGCATCAGGAAAAGTAATGAATGTTGCCTTTCTGCACCCACAAGAAGTGTTGATTCAATTTGTTTCTGCTAGAATTTGCGGAGTAATATGAAAATTCAGTGCCCTGAAATCTTAAGTACAGCGTGTAGCGGTAACTCGGTGCGAGTTATATGCCCATTTTTCATTTGAAACCTGCTAAACGTAGGGGTTGCGACTTATACGAAGGTGCGAATTATAGATCGGGAAATACTGTACATGCTCTATACTATGACGTTCGCCATCACTCCATGAAAATGGTCGAGGCTTGAGTAATCGCCACGAACAGGGGACGTATGTGCTCTGACGAAACACATAGAAGATTATGTCGCAGCTGGGAATACATCAGAGGCCTGTTACATCTCTCATTGACATGATCCGTTATATAAATACATAAAAAGTAGAAACTTGTTCGAACTCGGTAAGGAATACATTTGAAGGCTTTTTGGCTGTCTTAAATATAAGAACTCGAAAAATTGTGATACATAGTGTCCATACAAGAAGACTAAAGCTACGATGTTCAGCAAAGCATCAAGTTTGTATCAGCAAGATATCTAACAAGAATGCCAATGTAACATCAAGCAATGTTCGTATATGCTTCAAAGAAGCCTTGCCTGCCAATTAAATGCAAATCAAATTATTAAAAAGAATAAGAATTGAATGCTAAACCCAGAGATGTCAATAACATGTTACTTTTATGTGCTCCAAGTTTTTTTAAACGCTGTTTGGGCAACCTTAGAAGCTTCTTTGACATTTTACAGGTACAAACAGTAGCACCAAGGCATGCAACAAGCCTTGAAGACCGTACATCCAAGACATCTGAATGTCTTTGAATGATCTTCAAGTAAGAAGTCATAATTAATACTTGATTTGCCTAAATTTACTCTGTAATAATGTTTAGCTTAATTTTTAGATGATCACTGACCTAAATCAGTGGACTCAGCAAATTCCATGAGAGAGAAGAAGGAGAGAAGGGGGGGTGCTACTTTTATTTCATCATCCATAACAAATGCATAAAAGCACCCATAAACGATTCCAACTGGCTCCACAATTAGGCCCACATATAAAAGAAAAGTTCGCTATAGAACAAAAATATCCTTAATAATAATAATAATAATAATAATAATAATAATAATAATCATAGCAAAAAACAAACAGCACCACACACTTAAAGCAAGTCCAGAAAAAGCTCCGGAAATGGAATAAACTAATCTCATGTGCCTTGCTTTCCAACAAAAACCACGACCATCCGCAATACAAGATCATGACGGGCACCACAAGAAACAAAACAACTGCGATCTGACAGCTAGGAGAAACTCTTCAATGCGTCATAATTTCAACAGCACTGCCTCAGCCAATACTGTCAACTACAAACCCTTAGTCACCGTGCCCCGTCATTCATCAAGCATTTATACGTTTGAAAATTGTTGTGAGCTGGTGCACCGTCTGAACATAAATAGAAAATGAGAGAATGCTGAAAAAAAAAAAAAAACTGCCAGCAACAGTGTGCCACCTTAGACAATTCCAATGAAAGGCAAGAGAAAATAGAAGGTGAGAACACCAGCCATTCCAGCACGTTTTAACACTTGCAAGTGAAGCATAGCACAAACTGAGCCTCCCGAGCAGGCAGCTACAAGAAGGGGCACTTGGCATCTAGGGCTGTCCTTACTATTTTAAATCAGTTTAAAAACAGAGATATGCACATTGTTGCACTGACTCTTTTCCAGTGCCTAAAATAACGTATTAACATTAATTGAGTGTTAATAACCATCATTTTAAGGAGACAACAGATAAAAACAGACTTGGCAGAAGGTTCTATGATGTTTGTGAAAAAAAAAGTACAAGTGAATAACTTTAAGCTTCTTTCAAATCCAACAGCAACTAGCAATTTAGAAGATTGTCAAAGTAAATATCTTAATAATTGAGAACAAAAACAAATAAGACAATAATAGAGGGAGCAGAAAAAAATCTCCTTGCAGCACTACCAAGCTTAGTGCATTTCGCTTATATGGCAAAAAAACACCTACAGCTGTAGCTGCCCTAGAGCTTGAGAAATTATTGCCCCAAAAAAAGCAGGGTGAGCAAACAGCTGTTTTGATAAAATGCAACAAAAAGAAAAACTAAGCTCATTTTAAATTGGCCATGACACAAATTATTTTGTTATTTTTGCTGCATGATTAGTAGCAACCTGAGATATCATCTGCATCCCTTCGAGTTCTGCATACACATTGCGAGACATATTTTTGCAAGCAAGAGCGCCACACGTGGCTATTGCGTCAACTTCAGCTGAGCATAACTTCAACATATGCCTAAGCGAGCTAACGAGTCCCCATGCAAAGGCATCGTTTTTACAGCAAAAATGGAGGATCGCTGGTATCACAGTTGATTTTCATTTCTAAAACACATCTGCTTCTTCGCTTCTCCTTCCAGATTGCCACGGATGCTCAAGCATGGACTTGTGACAAAGTTTTTCAACTAAGACTTGAGTAAACTTGACATTGAGTAAATCAGTTAGCATGGTCTACAGTACATTTCAAACACCATGAAATAATGATCATCACTAAATAAAAGTCAATTTAAGCTTCTCAATGGAAATAATAAAGCATATGGGACGAAGAGACAACCTACTTCCAAGCGCGAGTTGAACGCGTATCCTTCGCAGTAGCACTTCGATGCTCCACTGAGCTCTCGCTACAATAATTCTTCAATACTACTTTTCTGGTTATAGATATGCAGTATACATATATATATATATATATATATATATGCAAGTGTGCTAAGTGCTACGAACATTATAGCCGTGCAACTTGTGGCTTGTGGCCAGAACAATGGATTTAGAAGATACCTTTGACCGCAGGCATCAGGTATTAAGTGAACTCAGCAATGAGAAAACAGCCAATAACTTCTCTTCTGAACTGAAGCTTCTTATACATTAATTATGGTAAAAAAGTGAATGCAGTATAATTAAAAATTTTCCTGCATAGCAATTATTGAGAGGCTCTTGCAAAAACAAACTACTGAACTGGTTAGTGTACTTCAAATAAACAGCCTCTCAAATATTTCTCATTCAAATGATAATCTTTTTGAACCTAATTTACTTACACAATCTGGCGTATAGGATATTTAAAAAATGTGAAGACAATCGGTCACATGCTCAAAGAAGTCTAGTCTCAGCAAGTCAACGAACAGTGAGGCACTCGCCGTTTCTACTGCTATCCGCACACTGAGCTAATCCAAGATTTGTGCTAAAAAAACTATGTTGAGATGAAAATGCAGCTCTATGAAGATGCAGCATTCGTATGCGTGCGAACATTCCGAGAACATTAGTCTATTGACCTGTTGGAACATAGCCGTAGAGAGAAAGGCACTGGTGAATGAGAATAAAAAGGCTTAGAAAAAAAAAGTTTGCACTCAGTGTACACCTCGTTTATGCCCATCTCAACAACAAAGCCAACCTTAGCATACTGCAACTGAAACTTGAAGCTACATCGACGAATTGGAGACGAGACAAAGCAGAAAATGAAAAAACCTGCATTGCAGATCTCAAAATATAACTTTCCTATTGCATAAAAACTTCTTGTCATGAAAGTGCACAAAGCAGTCCATTATTAAAAAGAACTAGTACCATCTAATGGAGTCAACATAGCTGGAATACGTTTTTCTGTGCCTTCATTAGAAATGGCTGGTACAATCTATTGGACATACATTACACATATACAGTTAGTCGATAGACAATAATCAGCCTAGTTAACAATGGGTTTGGTTTGACTGTTATGTGCGGCACACAGACAGCTCTCAAGCACGTTGTATAATACGTGCACACAGTCCTTGAGAAAAGGCAAGCAAAGTCTTTCTTTTTCTTTCGATTTCCTTTCTTTCTGAGAAGACACAAATTTCTCATGCAGGGCATGTAAGGCATCATGCATTTTCTCAAAACTGGTCTGCAATCGCTCATCATCAAGCCACTCCAACAACAGCAAAGAAAAAAAAAAGGACAGTGCAAACGGGCATTTCATCACTCGACGGAATGAACGTATCGCGCATCGTTGAACAACGCAGTTCGAAAGAGCCGTTTTACCCAAACAGGGTCCAGAAAAGGAGAGGCGAAAAGAGCAGTCCACACACCTCGCGGCCAACACAAGTCACGTTCCAGCCTGTCCTTAAGGGGAGGAAAAAAAAAACTGCCAGCTTCTCTTAGGAGGAGGCAGCCGAAAAACACAAACTGGCCTGACACAACACCGTCACGAGTTACTACGACGACGGCGACAGGGAATGAAATCCGAGAGCACTAAAAAGCTTGGTTTTGATCCCTTGAGGCGGCTGGTCACTGCGCTGACTACTAGAGGTTGTTGTGGACGATGAAAGTGGACTCGAGGTATTAGCCGGTGGCTGCTGTGCTGACTGCTGAAATGGCATTGATTTCGATCGAGGTCGGAAAAACGCGTATATCAGTCAGCAGTGCCATATTACCGTCAAACAGAGTGGCCGAAATAATATGGAAATGTTTGGTTTCACCGTTGGATAAATTAAGCATTTCAGGTCCACAGTTTCATAAAATTAATTTGTTAATGTATAGCAATGTCGAGTTTGGTGCATGTTAACAAAAAGATGCCATATTTCAATTGAAAAATTTGTAAAGTTTTCAAAGGCCGGGCAGTACGCCATATACGTGAGGAAACGCATCCAGGATGACAAGCGCAGAGCAAGAGAACGGCACAATTTCGCGAACAAGGACGGAGTTGGCATATTTCATTGTTGTTTTTTTTTCATATATCCCCCAATTTAACACAGCGGGCAATCATGTCGTGTAATCATGTGCAAACCGCATTACACATACATTTTTTTTTTGTCAGCAAGGAAGAAGCCATGTTTAAAGTGGCATGTCATGGCAGACCAGCACAAAATTAACAGACAATCAAGAGACATTATTTTTTTTTTTTTAACATTGGGAGCAGCAAAATATTATATGTGGACATCATTTTTGGGGCACGCAGCACGATTTTGGCATGGTTGCAAAGATTAGGATGCAGTGATGGTGGGTGTCAATGAGCGATGATGAAAGGTAAACAAAAGGTGCATGTGGTTTGCAATGAAGAAAGGGGTGGCATTTGTGGAATAGAATGTTAAAAACAAAAGGGGTTGGAAGAAGGGGGTTTGTGCATGACACAAACAAGTGAAGGTTTCAGAGGTCGAAGAAGAAAGAAAGAGAGAAGGAAAACAAATGATAAGGAGAGAACAACAACCCAAGAAAACAAAAGCAAAATAGACACAAACACACTCATGAGTAACAAACAAACAAAAAAGGCAATCAAAAGAGTGCTGTATGCAGAGAAGGGTGGGAGGGGATTGCACTACCTCATAGAATAAGACATCTTAAAAAAAACGCTGCTGTTTTGCACCCGAGGCCCTACGTAGCTTACAATGTCATTGCAACAGCACAAGGATTCATGGGTACAAATACTTACGCATAAACGTACCGCTGTCCGTGTAAAACATGGCCTGCAGCACCTATATAGCTGTACCAGGTTCGCTATCGTAGCTATTCCAAGCATCAAATGTGCAAACTCTTTTGAAAGTGATCACTTGAGAACAGCGTTCAGTTCTCTCAACAGTAACCCTCTTTAACACACACACAGCGCTTGAAGTGAACTACATCCCGAAGCATAATTTTAAGTGGCAAATAAAAACCTGCAGTGTTGCGAGGGCAATCTGTGCGTGACTAAACCTGCCAAAGACCTTTTGCTTAGCAAGAAAAAAGAGGTGCCAGATGTACTGCTATGCCAACTTTTAAAAGGAACACTTATCTGGTATTAAACACCACCAACTAGAGTAACATCACTGTCAAGGTGTCTAGTATGGTCTATTTGGCTGACATTTAAACTACACAAGAAAAAAACTGTCCACGCATTGCATTGCCTGACTCCATTATAATAGGCAGCCAAATACCAACTGCGTGTTCCTTTTACAAGTGAGCCACGTTGTACACACAGAGCAAGCCGAAAGCACATCTTCTCACAGAATGTAGCATGTCTGCACTCAATGCTGTCAAGTGGAAGCACATACTTAAAGTGAAAGTGTAATTTTGATTAACTGTTTGGTTGACGTATATACTCAGCCAAGGGACAGTAGCTTTAATTTAATCGAATGTATTTACGTTATCTGCATACTAGCAATTTAGTGTTTCATGTTTGCTAAAAAACGGTCATTATTAAATAGGAAAAAATCCTTGGCCCACTGTTTGGCAACAAACAATTGCAGCCACTTAGACATGACGAGTACAGGTATTTCTATGGCTGCACAAGGGCACATTGTCCTTTGCTGGTCATAAGGCGCTCTGCCTCGACAACATTACTCAGCAGAGAAATGGAATGCCATACGTTTATTAAGAATTTGAAACTTAGTGGAATTGTATGCCAGTTAAGTCTTGGAAGTGGCTGCAAATGAAAGTGCTGCAATTATGCCAAATGGCACCGAAACTAAGAAGCTTAAAAGTGAATGCAGGTGTGCCCTGCAGTGTGGACCAACCAGAGCTAAAGAGGCATCTCCACCAGTAACAGGGCACAGCCACCTTTCACAAGACCAGCACATTTCATTTTCCACCTTCACCTCATGTCTTGTTTGTTCTGTACCTCTTCCTCTTCTGCCTTGTCCAAATATCGTCTGTATGTATGAGTCCAATCTTAAATGCCACATCTTGGCAAGAAATGAGCTCGAGACTTGGGTATATTACATTTAGCAGCACCATTTTAACCAACATTTTGTCAAAAGAAACAACTACAAGACGTATGCATACACACATAAGTGATTGAGGATAAGGAGTTACGTTATAGCCAGTCCCGCACCACAAGTGGTTACAGTATAAGCGGCCCGATTTCTATGGCATTGGCTAGAGGCAAGGCACCCGCATTGTTCCTATCTGGGTGAAGTGTTCATTTTGAAAATGTAATATATCCAACATAAATCCTCGATTAAAGGAGCAACAGCAATCAGCTTTAAATAGTGTGAGGGTTTTTCGTGAGCTGCTGCCAAAAACATATGGCAGCCTTATTTCGAAGGCGGATTCAAAACAGCTAAAGGATTGCGTGGGTTATTCAATTAATTGGTTTTTGGTCAAGATTTGAATTTCCAGGAGCTGGATTGTAACTGCAACAGACTTGCGATAAAAAGCTGCTGCAAAATGTTGCTCCCAGGCTGCTTCAAATCTGCCACTGAATTCAACGAGCACAGAAATTGAGCAGCTCTTTCAGTAGGAACAATTCCTGACAATTATATGCAGACAGTGTGCTTGCAACCTTTCAAGGGTAAAAAGGTAACTAGTGGTCTCAGTGTCAACCAGCACAAGTCCAGGTTCAACCACGAGACTGATCTAAATCATGTCATGGCGTCAATCATGTCAAATAACACCACAGCGCCATGCTGACATTCACGCAAGCATAACCCTACGTTTGCTTCATGCAACACTAATTAGCCTGAAAGAATGCCTTGCATTATGCTCAAAAATTTGTCCTTGATATAACAGATACCTGTTTTTTCCCCCCAAGGCTTTCCTCTAGAGTTATAGATATAAGAGCAAGTTAGTAGTTCATCATTACTTTTGGTTTGCAAGTTTGCCT